CTGCAAACAAAAAATAATTCTTAATAATAAAATATAGTGGAGAGGCAACTTCTTTGAGAGTCCTCTTAAGTAGTATCTTTGTCAGCAATAGTTTTGGATCGATTACCACAAGATTACCACACGATTACTACGATTACCACAAGATTACTACAATTACTACAAGATTACCACGATTACCAAGATTACCGAGATTACCACGATTACCCATGATTACCGAGTGGGTGTACACAGGATTACCTCAGTGGGTAACCCCTTGCCTAACACTATGATTTCGTGCACCCTTTTCTCCGGGACAGCGTCCCACACACTGCTAGCTGTGACCGCGTGGGTGGAGTCCCTGCAGACTCCGTGCAAGGCAAGCAAGGCGAGCAGGGCGAGCAGGGCGAGCAGGGAGGCAACTTCCTCCTTTCATCTCCATCAGCAAGCGGCATCTTGCCCCGCCGCCCCCGCCGCCCCGCCGCCCCCGCCGCCCCCGCCGCGCCCGCCGCCCCCGCCGCCCCCGCCGCCCCCACCGTCCCCGCCGCCACGGCGTCAAAGCGCCGCGCTTTCGGGATGCGGGGGCGGGGCGGGGCGAGGCGGGGCGGGGCGGGGCGGGGTGGGGCGGGGCGGGGCGGGGCGGGGCGAGGCAGGGCGGGGCGCAGGCGGCGTCCCCAATGACAAGTCGCGCTGATAACGCGGTGGTGGCGCAGCTCGGCACGGCATGGCGCCGATCGGAAACCCGGGGAGAAATTCACTCGACCGACCCTCGCCGCAACCCACAACGTTGCCACCGCCGTCTGGAGTCCGTGGCGGCGGCGCGGCGGAGGAGGGGGTGTCTTTGTCTTATTAAATAGCGAGCTTGATGAGTTCGGCTGTCAATAATGGACTGCTTTTGATTTATTGAGGCGGTCCAGCTACCCGAAGTGGAGCCGGGCGGGCAGGACACCGCGCACGGTGGGCCAGAAGACCGGTGGTGACGGCCAAAATTCGAGACGCGTTTTGAGCTCCAGAGTCGTTAAATGGGATTCAAACCCAACGTGTGACCCCACCAATGGATTGCTCTCTGAACGAGAAATCCATCGGTGGGGCCCACGCTCGGTTTGAGTCCTGTTTAGCGACTCTGGAGCTCAAAACGCGTCTAGAGTTTTGCCCCCTCCACCGGTCTTCCGTCCCACTGTGCCACGCCGCACCGCGTCAACTCAATAAACCAGCGAGCCATTGAATCAGAGAGCGGCCCGGACTCTCGCACACATCGACACCTGGCCGCCGTCAGGTCGCCGCCAGCGTGCCCGCGGCCTCGTCGCCGCCCCCTCCGACCGGCCCGCGCGGCCCACGCGACGGGACGAAACATCCCCGCCATAATTAAATCAGCGCGAGGCAGGGAAAGGGAGGCCCGCGGCGGCAGGGCGACCCGGAAGACGCGCGGCAACGCGTTCTTCGCAACAGAGTTTCCCGCCAAAATTGAAAATCTAATAACTTGAATGCGAGGCAAACGTCAAAGCCGAATTAAATTAGCACGCAGCGCGGCGGCGGCGATATTGCAAAACTCGCGACAGTGGCGCTGCGCCCCCAACTATTCTTCTTGGAGCAGTGAGTCTCCGGCGCGCAGTAGGCCAGAAGACTGGTGGGGACGGCCCAAATCCGAGACGCGTTTTGGGCTCCAGAGCCGCCACATGGGACCCGAACCCGACGTGCGACTCCACCTATGGATCCCTCGTCTACAGAGCAATCCATTGGTGGGGTCACACGTTCGGTTCGAGTCCCATTTAGCGACTCTGGAGCCCAAAACGCGTCTCGGATTTCCACCGTGCGACGCGGCTGCGACGCCGCCACCCCTCTACCGCCTTGCGCACACACTCGAAAAACGGAATTCGTCGCCACACGGCGAGACTGCGAGACTGCGCAGCGAGACTCACGCCCGTCCGCCCTGTTGATGGCGGGTACCTGTTTGGACAGATGCGCCGAGTGGGGGAGAGAGGGCGCCGAACGCGCCCAAGGTGTGTGCCCCGGTGGATGGCGGTGGGTCAACCTGCCGGCATCCTGGCCTGGCCGGAACGCGGTTCCTTCGTGTGCGTGGTGTGTTGGTGTTGGTGTTGGTGTGTGTGTGTATGGTGTGTGTGTTGTTTAAGGGGGTTTGGTGTCGAGTGTGCTAGTGTGTGTGGTGTGGGTGGTGCTGCGCATTAGCAAGTGTCATGGCCGTCATGGCGGCGCAGAGAGAAAAGCCGTTTTTCCTCTTACGCTCTAATTTTCAGACCCAGCCAATCTCCCCCTGTCCCCGGCCTGGCCCGGCCCGGCCCGCTGCCTACCCGACACCGACGCGACCTCCTCGCGCCTGACTCGCCTGACTCGGCTTTACCGCCTCCCTCCGCCTCCTCTTTCGCTTCGCTGTCTTTCCGCGCAGTAAACTTTGATGACTGTTCATTACAAAATGTGGCCGGCCTGCCACCACGCTGGCAGCACGGCCATGGCGGCCATGGAGGCCGTGGTGGCGGCGACATCGATCCCTGCTCCTTAGGAACGCGGGGCTCGAAGAGCCGTCTCGCCAGGTTCGAAAAGAAGTGTGCCTGGTGGCAGAGGCGTTGGGCCAGGGCCGGCGGGGCCCCGGCTGCCCCCGGCCGTTCCGGCCCGGCCTGCAGCCCCCTGGGCCCCTGGCGAGGGGTCGACAACTACCTCGAGCCGTGTACGAGGTAGTATATATTACCGGTAATATAAGTAATATAGGGTAATATAAGGTAATATACGGAAATAAAACAACGGTAATATATGATAAAAGAAGATGAGAACGTGACACAGTATCCTTGACTAAGGCTAAAATCAGGAGTTCTGGCTAGAATTTTGGTATTATGCAGACCTTACCCTCGTTTCATGACAGCGCCCCCTGTCAGATAAAAGGTATGCAACCCGATGCAACCTATCTGACAAAAGTATGGCGCGTAGCTTCATGTCAGATTGAACACGGACATCAAATCCGAATTTCTTCCTGTTGCAAGGAGAAGCCTAATAGCTTTAACACCTTGATACCAAGGTTCAGTACGGCAAGTTTAACGTTAGTTTAGGTTAGAAACAAGCAAATCACAGAAATATGTGGTAATATAGTGGTAATATAGAGGTAATATACGGTAATATAGGGTAATATACGGTAATATAAGGTAATATAGAGGTAATATAAGCTCTGCGTACGAGGTAATATGGGAGTTGTCGACCCCTCGGCCCCTGGGGCGCTTTCGGGGGATTCTTTCTTCGAGCAGCCTGGGAGGCTGGAAGGATGCTGGATGGCAGCCCACCGACAGCAAACGCCGACCCACACTGCAGGACGGCGAGATCTCCTGAGTCCCGCGCGCGGTCCCGCGGCACGGCCGGTCCGGGCTGGGCAGTCGCAGAGAGGTGCGGCGCACGGAATGCCCGAACGCCCCGACCCGACCCGCTGGGGGCGGTCCGACCCATCCGACCCACTGCGACCCAATGCCCTTCCCTTCGCCTCCCCGACCCGCTCGCTCTGCCGCACCGGGCCATCTCATACGCAACCCAGGTAGCAGGGCCGGCAGGGCCCCTCACCCACCTCAAATGTCTGGACCCGTCCGTGCGCCCCGACCCGGACCCCGCCGACCGTCTTGGCCGCACTTAGATGACGCTTTACCCGCCCGGTCGCCTCGCCCGCCTCGCCCCGCGCCCTTCCCGTGCTCTATTCGCCTCTTTTTCCCTACCTGCTGGTGCACTGTAACATAGAGGGAGGTTTGCCACTTGCCCTTGAGTGCCGCCCACTCGTACCAGGCGGGCGATGGCGAGCGTCCGAGAGTCCGAGCCCTGGTCCGAGCCGAGACGACACCCCCGGACACCCCCAGCGCGCGGCCGGCCTGGGAAGGCACAGGTGTGAGGGACGGAGCGGACGGAGCCCCTCCAAGTCAGGCCGGCGCGCCACGCCCCCACCACGTCCCCACCACCGCAGGGCACTACAGGTTACTACACCGCCAGGGCACTACACCGCAGGGCACTAACACCGCAAGCCACTACACCGCGAGGGCACTACAACGACTGCATGACGGCGGACGGAGTTGGCGGGGGCCAAGTCGTGGTGGCCGCCCATCAAACACCACGACCAGACGTCGCGACATGTCGCCGCACGGCCTGGCTGGTAAGAAAGGCCTCCAAGAAACTCCCCACCGAGCGAAAACCCAGGAGGGAAGTTCACCAGTTCCGGCAAAAAAAAAAACAACATTAATTTGGCGCAGCTGGATGTCCTTTTCGTTCCCTTTTTGGCGCGTCGGTGAGGGAAGTGCGAGGAGTGCACCTCAATCACCGGCCCTTTGTGTGGGAATCCAGCCTGCCGTGCCAGCTCATCCCACCGTCCCGCCACCGTCGGGGACCTGGGACCGGGACCGGGGAGGGCCCAGGCACGGCCCCGCCAGCCCCACCCACTCGCTGCAAAGCCAAAGCCAACAGCCAGCGCGCCAGCATGCAGATTCCACAGAGTGACGTGTCAGCTACGAAGTTTCGCGCGAAGTGACGGACAGCGTGACGGACAGCGTGACGGACAGCGGGACGGACAGCGTGACGGACAGCTGGACGGACAGCGTGACGGACAGCGTGACGGACAGCGTGATGAACAGCGTGATGAACAGCGTGACGGACAGCGTGACGGACAGCGTGACGGACAGCGTGACGGACAGCGTGACGGACAGCGTGACGGACAGCGTGACGGACAGCGTGAAGGACAGCGTGATGGGCAGCGTGACGGACAGCGTAACAGACAGCGTGACGGACAGCGCAACGGACAGCGTTACGGACAGCGTGACGGACAGCGCAACGGACAGCGCAACGGACAGCGTGACGAACAGCGTTACGGACAGCGTGACGGTCAGCGCAACGGACAGCGTGACGGACAGCGTGACGGACAGCGTGACGGACAGCGCAACGGACAGCGTGACGGACAGCGTGACGAACAGCGTGTGACGCAGCTCTAGGTGCACGAGTCGCTACGGTACTCGACCGGCTCCAGGCCGGTTAGGACGGAGGGTGCCTACCTGGACAGGTTTCACCGTCTTGGCTCGGTGGAGCAGCCCCATATCTGACACGGTTCGGATGGCATTGCCTCTCACCTGCAAGCAGAAAATGGTGGTGCTACAACATCGGACAAGGTGCACTCTTCGTCTACGCGCCCCACTCAGCGAGCGCCTGTGAAGTCGGGGGTAGGCAAGCCCGCGACGCACCGGTGCGGCCGCTGTGCCTGCCGCCGGGCGCTCTGGAGTCTGGAGCGCTGTGCGCAGTGGGCCCAAAACTCTAGACGCGCTTTGAACTTCAGAGTCGCTAAGTATGACTCGAACCGAACGTGAGACCCGACCAATGGATTCCTCGTCCAGAGAGCAATCTATCGGTGGGGTCACACGTTCGGCTCGAGTCCCATTTAGCGACTCTGGAGCTCAAAACACGTCTCGAGTTTTGGCCACCTGCACCGGTCTTCTGGCCCACGGTGCTCCGGTGTGGCGCCGTGAGACTAGCCGGGGGCGGAGGCGCGCCTAGGCGGAGAGCGGATTTGTGTGTTCCGGCAATCCGGCGGTGTAGCCCATGTCGTCCATGTCGTGCGGAGAGCAGCAGTGTAGCATTGTAGCGGTGTAGGCCCCGGGCAGCAAAGGCCCCAGGCCGACAAGGACAGCTGGCGGACAGGCGCACTGCAAGGGGGCTCAAAGCCAGCGTCCCCGCCGACCTTCCTCACAAATTTTTCGTTTTGAATGATGAACAGGACAGCATTTTCACCCACTATGAGAGCTCGGCTGGTGCTGAGGCAAACTTGTAAAGACGCCCGGTTTTGTTTATTTTTCTCGACGGCGTAGAGTTGTACAGGATTCCGGACTGCCGGCCGGGGACTGGAGGAGTTCAACATTCCAAACATTCTTTCTCTCCAAAGTTTCCAGCGCGCGCGTTTTACTTCTTTTCCTGCCAGGGCAGCAGGAGGAAAGGCGGCCTAAACACGATCTGCTTCCTCCTTATTTTTGCCCTCCATGCCATGCAGGCACCCCGCCCCGCGCCGCCCCGCCCCGCCCGATCGGGGCGCTGCTTGCGACCAATTTCAATGCCGCGCCTCTTGGCTTGAATGGAGCGAATCCTTGCAATCTCTTTCCCGGAGCGGGGGAGGCCAGTGCGGGGAAGACTAGCATCACCGGGTGCCGTGCGCGCCGTGTGCCCGCCCGATGGCCGCAGCAGCCCAGAGACAAATCAGGGTGCCTCTGCCCTCCGCAGCCCCGCTACTAGGCCTGGGCGATTAATCGAATAATCGAAAATAATCGCGATTATTTTGTTAATCGTCCGATTATTTCAAACCCCCGATTAGTGGTTCGGTAATCGAAGGATTGACCGATTATTTAACGATGATCGATTATCGATTAATCGTCTCATTATCGGATGTTCTTTTCATCACCTGTTCAAATTCTGAGCGGAAAAGTCTTGAAAAGTTTTCAGTTAAGGCACGAAAAAGCTGTCTCAGACACTCGAGGTTGCGCCAATGGTATTCCTATCCTCTTATTAAACGCTGTTTTCACAATAGTACGAGTATTAACCTTTGTTTGTCAATTTCCAAATAATCGGTTTCCCCCGATTAATCGTTGATTTTCGATTAATCGTGTACGTTTTCGATTACCGATTACCGAACTGCTAATCGACACCAATCGCGATTATTTTATTCATCGGCCGATTACGATTACAACCAATAATCGCCCAGGCCTACCCGCTACTGCAGACTGATTCCGAGAGTCGTTATCGTCGCTCTGTCTCTCTCGCACCTGTACGGGGTGCCCATGAGTGCGACAGAGACAGAGCGACGAAAACGACTCTCGGAATCAGACTATCGGGACAGCGCGCGGCGCGCCGCGGCGAGGACGCCACACCGTATTTTAGCGCGCCGCGGAAGCGCATGCGAGGAGCGATACGTACTCGCTGTGCTCCTTCATCACCGCGGCCGCAAGATATATATATTGCCGGTGCTGGCATGTCTGAATGGAGCCGTAGCAACTGCGGGGTGCTAATGGTGGTGGGGGGAGGGGGCAGTGAATGATGACCCTCTAGGCCGTCCAGGCCGTCCGGCCGTCCTGACCAGCAGCAGCGGCGGCACCAGACCGATTCCGAGAGCCGTTTTCATCTCTCTGTCTCTCTCGCACTCGTGGGGCGTTCCGTATAGGTGCGAGAGAGACAGAGCGACGATAACGACTCTCGGAATCAGTCTGCAGCGGGCGGCGAGGTCGTGAGGTGCTGCTTCTCATTGTGAGCCCACTCCGCTCTACTAAAACAAGGCAGGGGCGGCGGGTCCAGCGGCAGCGCGGCAGGCTGCCTCCAGCCTCCACTCGGTCTCTCTCGCACCCCTGCGGGCCGTATGGGCCACTCCGTGAGTGCGAGAGAGACGCCGTTGTGGAGTGTGGCCCAGCACCCTTATCACGCCGGTGCCCATAGTGCGTGACCCTTCGCCCTTCGGGGCCCGCGAGGGGCCCGCCGCCCGAAGCCCGAACTGCGGCCCCCTCGGGCAAGGCTTCGGCCCGGAGCGGCCCGCTCCCGCTGGAACGGCTCCTCACACTTTAATGTGAAACGGAACGCTAGATCGCCATGTTTCTTTTATGTTTTCTCCTTTTCCCCACTCTCACGGCAGCCATCAATAGGTGATGAATGGTGTAGCGACCGGCATGCTCTGCAGCGCGCGTCAAAAGGCGCGAGGCTCTTTAGGCGCCACGCGTGATGCGGATACGGAATCGCTGCTGCGGTGCGGCAGGCCAGGCAGGCGCATTCCGTCGCTCTGTCTCTCTCCCACTCACGGGGCGCTCCGCACAGGCGCGAGAGAGACAGAGCGACGGGCTCTCGGAATGAGTAGTGTGCCTGCCGGAGGCGGAGGCGGCAGCACGGAAAAGTAACGGCGACCGCTGCCGGAGGGACTGGAGGCCCTCCAGTGGAGGGTCGGGCAAATCTGCCACATCAGGGACCGGCTGTCGGCGAGACGGCTGAGATGTGTCGCTGAAAATGATGTATGGCCGACGGCGCGAACAGGCTAGGCCAGGCTAGGCCAGGCTAGGCCAGGCTAGGCCAGGCTGGGCCAGGCTAGGCCAGGCTGGGCCAGCCCAGGGCCTCGACGGCCGCGCCGGCCGCACGCCACCGCTGTGTCACCGGGAGGCTGGGCCGCTGTCGCGCCCGTCGATGGAGACGCGATTCCAAAGAGTCGCTCTGTCTCTCTCGCACCCGCACGGCAAGCCCAGCCCGCTCCATTGGAGCGACAGGGACAGAGCGTGACGGTGCGCTACGTACAGCTCGACACTAACGAGTGACACGCGGTCGAAGGAGTGATAAGGGAAGGGCGATCGCGAGGCGAGGCGGCGCTGACGGCGCGGCGTTGTGACAACGCGACAACGCGACCACGCGCGGCACGAGATGAGGATAAGGGTGTCCGGGACGTCCTCGAGCGCCGCGACGACGCGCCGCCGGAGCCTCCAAGCCACGCAGGCAGTGCTGGCAGTGTGCTGGCAGTGCCCCAGGCAGCCGTGCTCGGGGAAAAGTTACTTTAGGAGAACTGGTATCATCTCTCGGGGAAACAATAATTGTTGCACAACAGAAAATGATTCTCCGTCAAACTTCCGCCTCGGCGAAGCACGTGGCCTTTGTGCGGGGCGGGGCGGGGCGAGGCGGGGCGGGGCGGGGCGGGGCGGGGCGAGGCGGGGCGGGGCGAGGCGGGGCGAGGCGGGGCGTGTTCCGTGTCGTTCGGCGGCGGGCGTCGCGCCGAGGCCGCGCATACGGGCCGCGGCTCCACTCGGCGGCCGGGCCCTGCTAGGCCCTGCAGGGCGGGCGTGCGTGCACGGACGTGACCGAGGCCGTGGTCGAGGACGTGACCGCCGCGCCCGCCCCGGCCTGGCCGCCTCGGCGACACACCGCACACGCACACGCGGGGTGATGAAGGTGGATGAAGGGCGTGCCCCACTGCGTGAACGGCGAGGCCGCTCCGAAGTGGGTCGCCTCGTCTCTCTCGCACTCGTGCGGCGCCGCGGCGTGGTGCGAGAGAGACGGCGCCAGGAAGCGCCACTCCGAATCCGGGCCGCGAGGCTACGCGAGGCGAGGCCGACGACAGCGCGAATGCGAATGTGAATATGTCGGGCACGTGCGCCGCGCGGAAACTAAACTGTTTCAACGTCCCCGAGGGGCGAGGAGCCGAGGGGGCGGGCTGGGGCAGGTCAGGGGAGTGCCTCATGCATGTATACAGTGTGCCACACTCATCTGAATCTGCATGCGCCTGCGAGACGCGCCGTGCATTAACGTGGCCCGGCCGAGGGCATTAATGAGAAGTCACTATCATGTCATTTGCGGGGGATTCGGCCAGGAAATCCTGCCAGACGTTCGTGGCGGGTCAACAATGGGATTTCTTTTACAGGCGTCGGCGGCACTGTGCGAGCCTGGCCTGCACGAGCAGGACGAAAACGCACCGCAGTGGGAGGCCTGCAGGTCGTGTGGCGCTGGCCGACTAGGCGAACTGGCACCAAAAATAAAAGAGGGGAAAAAATCGTCGGCAAACTCGTAAGCGTAAAATCGGCAGCGGCGGCAGCGTGTTACGTGGCTGGATTTCCAACGACTGGCTTCGGTTGGCAGCCCTGCCAAACGAAACAAACACGACACGGTGGAGCGGAGGGGGAGGGGGAGGGGGAGGGGGAGGGGAGGGGGCTCTGCGGATGTGATGCGGAGTCCCAAGAGAGCCCCCCTCCCCTCTCCCCGCTCTCCACCGCGCTTACCGAACGCCACGCTAATCTGCTCAATGCTCCATCTCCCACTCTTTTATTCATCCAGTCGTCCCGTGGCACGCCCTCGGCCCCCCACTACGCTTGAACCTCTACCAGCTACCCCCTGGAACCCCCTGCAACCCCCCGCACGCGCCTCCCCGGGGGCTCCAGGACTCCAGGACTCCGGGCCTCCGGGACTCCGGGACTCCGGGACTGCGCTTCCCAGGCTGCCGATCCGCCCGGTGCACCCGCTGCCTTGGAACGGAACATGAAACAGCAGCTGGGCCCCTGGGCCCGCGCCGTCATCGAGGAGACCGTCACCATGGTCATCGTCGTTGCCCATCGCCATGGTCATCGTCGTTGCCCATCGCCATGGTCATCGCCACAGTCATCGTCGTGCTCATCACCATGATCATCGCCATGGTCATCGTCGTGCTCATCATCGCCATGGTCATTGCGACGGTCATCGTCGTGCTCATCACCATTACCATCACCATGGTCATCTTCGTGCTCATCACCATGATCATCACCATGGTCATCGTCGTGCTCATCACCATGATCATCGCCATGGTCATCGTCGTGCTCATCACCATGATCATCGCCATGGTTATCGTCGTGCTCATCATCACCATAGTCATCCTCATCGCCATGCACATCGCCGCGGGCGCGCTGGCGGCGGTGACGCCGTTTCCAGCCATTACGCCGTTCCACCCGGGCTGCCTGCCTGGCTTGCCTGGCCCCCTCTCAACCGCCGCGACCGCAAATCGTCATCTGGGGCGAAAATGATTCGCGGATCCGCTCTTCTGCCAGGCTTGGCGGCCCTCGGCGGTCCTCGGCCAGACCAGACAGGAGATTGGAGTGAAGGGGTGGACGGGGCGGACGGCGTGGACGGGGCGCTGCATGGAGCTCTCGGCGACATTCGCCCCGCAAAGCTACCGCTAGATGGCAGCACCGTCGCGCGCGGCCACAGGGTGAAGCGGGTCTTGGCCTCGTCATTCGTCACCTGCCTTGGTCCACGCCGATTCGGCTCCGTGCCTGCGATGTCTCAGTATGCTACATTTGAGTGAGATTACTCGTAAATTTTCGCCCTAGTTATTCAATGTTCCCACACAGACCAACCTCCTCGCGGGGTACTGTAAAAATCGAGCTAAAATGACGTTAAAACGTAAAACTTCGAAGATCCTAACCTCTCTGGCAGAGCTCTGGGATCAGCGCTCTGCGCACTCTTCTGCGCATGCATTCCGGCGCCAGGCTAGACCAGACTTCAAAAATGCACACCGACCACCTCGCACTCGGCACCTTTTTTAGGGCTTATCCGAAGTCGTATCGACTTGCAGTCTTTTCCACATCATAGGAAAAGTCTTGAAGATAAAAAGGCACTATTTCGTGTTCCGAAACAATTATTTGTTTCAGAAATGTGTTAGTAAAAGCGTTGGGACTCTTGGCAGCGCGCAGTTGGTTATTTTGCATCGCGTTTTTCAGGGGGAATGAGTCGAAATTTATGGGGGGTCAAAGCGAGGCGTTTGTGAGGCTCGTCGAGGACTATCATGTGCCGAAAACCGATTTTGAAAACCTCAAACCGTTTTCTGAAGCCAACAGATTTTCTGAAAAACATACTTTTTGTCATAGAGACGTCGCTATTGGTCCGATTGGATTCGGATTTGGTTTGTTTATAGTGTAGCGGTAAGCTCTACAATTTTGATCCCGACGTCTTTTTTCTTTAAAGACTTCGTTTAGCCAGGAGGACGATGTAAAGGGTCCACTGGTCTCCGGTGCGCTACGGTGCAGTGTCCGAGCAGTGCGTGCCTCCCCTCCACGCACCTGCGAGACCAGCCAAACCCTCTGCCCGACGTAGTTCGGAGAGTGTCCGCCAGAGCTGCCACTTTTGCTTTGCGGAGCGAATAATGAGAGGAACGGTGCTCGGCGCGCTCTTCATCCGGGGGCCGGGAGGGGGAAAACCTGCAACGCGGTCGGGTTCGATTCCCACTGTTTCTCAATCGCCCTTCAGCGGACACTTCGCCGACAAAGGGCGCTGCCGCTGCCGCCTCTCCGGGGAACATTGTGTTGTGTAAGGCCTCCCCCAACCCTTCCCCTTCCTCTCCCCCTCCCCGCCTCGCCTCGCCCCAGGCCTAGCAGGGCGTCATGTGCTGTGCTCGCACCGTTTCAAATGGCCCATTCCGATCGGACCACAGCCGCGCACTGCCGCACGCTGCCGCAGCCCGTGTGGTGCGGCCGGGGAGTGCCTCGGTAGTGCGGTAGTACCGGTGTGACGCTGCTTGCGCGGCTCCGCGGCTCTGCGCTGCGGCTCGCTAGCCCTGCAATACGACCATGTGGCAGAGGTGTTTCGCGGGACACTCGCGTCCCCCGCGGGGAGTGTCGAGTGGAAGTAGGCAACGCGCTGTCGGCGGACGGAGGGGATAAAAGTCTTCAGAAAATGAGGGCAGGCTGCAGGGGACACGATGGGGTGGCAATGGGGAAGGCCGTATGCCAGCTAGTCCAGGTTAGCCGCTCCGCAGACTGATTCCGAGAGTCGTTCGCCACGTCGCTCTGTCTCTCTCGCAACTATAAGGAACGCCCCGCGAGTGTGAGAGAGACAGGGCGACGAAAACGACTCTCGGAATCAGTCTGCCGCATTTCCAGCGAAATTAGATAGTAAAACAAGGCGGGCGACGAGCGGCGCCGCTGCAAGGCACCGCCTCCTTGCTCCACTACCGTTCCCGTCCGTTCCCGTAGTAACTGCCGTGTGCCGTCCTCGCCGAGACGGCCGACACTGTAGGGCACTGGAGCACGCCGTCTGGCCGCGGCCGGTCGCCACCACGGCGTGGGTGCAGCCTGGGTGGCCGACGCCTCAGGCGCCCGGACGGGCTGGCCGAGTGGACAAGGCGGTTGCTTTTCCAGGGAACGACCGTAGCGTGGCGGGTCGTTGGTTCAAATCACCTCAATGTCAGATGTGATTATTTTATGGTTGCTAGTTTTATTCATCCCTTCCCTGGAAAAGCAGAGTCAGCGAAAAGTTTCCATTCATCGCCGCCACCCTGAGAGCCGCGCCCAACTTCTCTTCATTTTCACTTTCTGTTTTCAGACGACGATTTGGGAGTTATTCAAGTCGTCAAGCTCCCGCGAAGTCATGTTCCTCAAGCATTTTCTGAGGAGAGTCTTCCGCGCACCGTCCTCGAACTACGCCGACGTCGCGGAGCCCAGGAACTACACTATTCAGGCTGATTTCGCACAGCGGTGTCGCCGCTCTGTCTCTCTCGCGCTCACGGTGCGTCGCGTGTCGGTGCGCGAGAGGCATGGTGCTGTCCGGAATAAGTCTTCGGGCCGGCAAGGCGGCGCGCGGTGACCGAGGCGGTGACGCGTCGCTGTGGCACGCGGGACTGGGACGCTAGCGACGCTAGCGTGACGCCGTCGTTCACAGTATCTGCCTAATCTGCAGGCCGTCGGCGGCAGACTGACTCCGAGAGTCGTTTTCGTCGCTCTGTCTCTCCCGCACTCATTCGGGGCGCCCCGTGAGTGCGACAGAGACAGAATGACGAAAGCGGACTCTCGGAATCGTCCTGCAGGGCAGGCCGTCGGCAGGGCGAGCCCGCGTCGTCCGCGGCCCCCGCATTCCAAGGCCACGCCCGCGCCCGCCGAGCGCTCGAGCTCGAGCAGAGCCAGACGGTGCCAGAGCAGGGCCAGCAAGACCAGCAAGGCGTCTGGAGGGGGCTCGGGCCAACGGGAAACGACGGGACGCAGCGGGAGGGTCCACCTCGTCCACCTCCACCCACCCGCGCCACGCCAAGGCGCCGAGCGCGCCGAGTGGGTCACGAGCGAGGGAAGTCCCATCTCGGGGCGTCCGGACCCGGAGGCGCTGACGGTGTGCAGGCTGCAGCCACTGCAGCCACTGCAGCCACTGCAGCGCCACTCCTCAGGCAAATCGATAAGCAAGCACGCGCTGGCGGACGATAAACACACTCACACTCACTCACACACACACACACACACACACACACTTCCTTCGCTGAGCAGTCCACCCCGCAGTCTCTCTCTCTCTCTCTCCCCCCCCCCCCAAATTGGACGGCGACTTTGCCGTAGAAGTGCCTGGGATGGAACCATTTTGTGAAGGGAGTCTCTTTTCTAAGAGTCGCCATGCAGTGATTCCAGGGACTAAGGATACAGTTATAAGGCGGACGACCAAAAAAAAAATTAAGGTTAATACACTTTATGAAATGTTTCACTTAGTAGATCAACGCAGGCCTCGTTTCAGTTTCTCAAAAAATATTGAGTCGGTGCGCAACTGACTAATGAGCTAGGCTAGGAGAGTCACGAGTCATAAGTCCAGCCAGCCACAGAAGTGCCGTGAGGCGTGAGGAGGCACACGGTTCTCCGAGGGGCTCTAACGTCGTTTGAACAGTAATTAATAGACTTGATGAACAGCAGCGAGCGGAACAGGGCGCAGGCAGTGCCGCAGTGCCGCCGCCACCCCTTCGTCGCCTTCACCTCATGAAACGCCACTCTGATGTCTACATCGCATTTCCCCGCCGCGTCGTCATGTTTTCCATTTCCACCACAAATTACCATCAATGTCGTTCCACTTTGTTTTTCTCTAGATCCCCAAGCGGAATGATTTAAACGCTGGGGACTTCCCTTCCCCTCATCCTCCCCCTCCCCCACCTTCCGTCCGCACCGCGACCACCTGCGGCCTACAACATGAACGCCAAGGCTGACGCAGGACACAGCCTTGATTTTTTCCAGCCGAATGTCGCGCGTGTCTCGTTTATTATTTTTTGTTTTCCGCGTTTTTTGCCGGTAGGAAGGGCGAAAGCGCGCGGCCTGGCCCCTGGCCCTGGCGCCACACTGCCACACTCACTCACCTTTCCCGCCAAAACGAACACGGCGAAGGCTCCGGCGAGGGCGACGCGCATGCCGCGCTTGCCGCGCATGCTACCGGCTCTTTAGGTCCTTTTAATCCTCGGCCGCCAGTCCCAGCCCGGCTCATGGTCGCGCTCACGACGGCGGCGGCCCCGCGCCGGTCGGGCCGGTCGGGCCGAACGCCCCCGCACCGGCGGCGCGCATTGCTAGGGGCCCTCGCGGCGGGGCGGCACGGACGGCGGGGCGGAGGGGTCGGCGACGGCGGCGTCGGGGTGCGTCTCGCGGCTCGGCTCGGCGCGGACTCCGGCGTGGCGGGGGCGGCGTCGGCGGCGTCGGCTTGCCGGGGCGAGAGGGACCACACTACTGGATCGCGGCCGCGGCGCGCGGCGCGCGGCGCACGGAGTAGCTCAACCCTCCCCGGCGGCGCTGGGCGCCAGGGGTGGCTTGGAGGGGGTGGCGGCCTGCCCGACCAGCCCGGCCCGTCCGTCCTGCGTCCCCGACGAGGTCCCCGACGAGGTCCCCGGCCAGACATGGCGCCGTCACGGCGTGCTGCCCGACCCCCACGCCGCGGGTGGCGCCTCTCGCCCTGGCCGCCTCTGGCACGGCGGCACGGCGGCGGCACGGCGCCGGCTGCGGAGGGCGGGGAGGACGCCGCCGGCGCCACGGAACGCACTGCGGAGGAAGGAGGCCGTCGTCGCGGCTCGGTGACGCGGCCTTTATCGAATCGGGGCGACGCCGGCGACGCCGAGGTCCACCCGCGGGTCCACCACGGGGAGGACGCGGCCCGGCAAAGCCAGGCAGAGGCATTCCGCACAGCGTTCTGTCGCTCTGTCTCTCTCGCACTCCTGCGAACGGCCCCGTTGTGTGCGAGAGAGAAAGCGCGGAGACATGTTATAGTGAATCCGCCCCGGGCGGCCTACCACCCGCAGCATTCGTGTATTCAAAATAGAGGCCTGCGGCGGGCGGGTATTCGTTGGTTGCTGTCAAAAACATTTCAGATTTCGCATGAACATAGTTTTATGACTGGATCAGCGCCTCTCAAACTTCTGTGCGTTTCGGTCCATTTACTTCAAAGTTATAGGCTTCACGGGTATTGGATACCCGCCCGCCGCAGGCCTCTAATTCAAAATGGCTGGAGTTTTTACGACTCGCGCCGAATTGTAACAGTCACCCCGTGCATTGGATGCAGGGAGGATGAAGATACCGTTCCTCCCCCTCCCCTTAAAGAAGGGGTAGCATAAGGGCTCGTTACCCCATTGGCAAGTCTGGCCGTGGGTGGACAGGGCTGAGTTGGCAACTGCAGCTCCGTGATTGTTTCGCCGTTTTCAGAACGCGTGACGTCACCCCGTCGCTTCGCGGTGTTCGAGATCGCAAGCACACAGCTGTGTTCTTGATAACGAAGCTGATTGCTCACTGCCCCGTGAGACGCTGCGAAAACTATTCAAAGTTCAAATTCCCTTTCACGTTTCGTTTGGGATGTTCTGTTGGTGCAGCTTTCGCAGAGGAGCAGTGGTAGTGGTGAGCCGCAGGAACGCACAAACAAAGGTACGGTGTCTGGGCGGGCCAGCAGACGGATTCCACACAGTGCTCCACCGCACTGCCTCTCTCTCTCTCTCTCTCTCTCTCTCTCTCTCTCTCTCTCTCTCTCTCTCTCTCTCTCTCTCTCTCTCTCTCTCTCTCTCTCTCTCTCTCTCTCTCTCTCTCGCGTTCGAACGGCACGCCCAGCGAGTCTGAGAGAGACAGGCCGCTGTCTAGTCGCTCGTAATGAGCGCGCGAACGCGAAGCGGGGCTGCGCTCGAAAGCGTGGGCGGTTCGGAGAGCTCCGAGGCGCTCTCTCTCTCGCTCACTGCGTGCACTGAGGGGCGCGGCGGCCAGCGGCGGCAGGCATGGCCTTCCCCCTTCCTCTGCGCCGCGAGCCGCGAGCTTCGGACGCAGCCCGCGCGGCTCTAGGGCTCTAGGGGGCCGTGCTGCCGCCGCCGTGCCTGGCACTACAGTGCTGCTGCCCATCGGCCGCTGCCGGAAGAATGACGCATCGGGAGGGAAGGGTGGGGGGCGTGTGAAGACGGGCGCAAAGCAGACGCAGACGAGGAGAAGGAGAGGACGAGAGAAAACGTCAACTGATGAAAGAAGCGAGAGAGAGATAGAGAGGCGCCCCGTTCGTGTAGTAGTCGGCTCGGCTCATCCGGCAAGTGGATTTAGATTTTTGGGGAGGTATTTGAACCACCGGTAGTGACTCCCCGGCACAGGGGATCGCGGAGGTTGGGCGTGAATCGGCGAAGAAAGCTCACTCGCAGCGAAGGCCGGCGCGAAGGAGGAGGGAGGCTTCTCGCCCTGGAAAGTGTACGTGCAGGAGAAGTGTTTGCGTTTGCTTGTGTATTCCTGCTGGAGGCAACGCCTCTGCTGCTGTTTTGGCCTGGCTGGGCGGACGGACCGTCGTCCTCCTGTCAACTACACCGCCAATTTGCGGCACTTGTGTGTTGCTTATCGAGCAGTGAGTGAGTAATCCGACAGCCAGGCCGTCGGGAGGCGTTGGACGGCGGCGCGATCCACTCCCATGGGAAAACAATGACCCAGTAACCCTAATTTTGGCTCGCGCGCCTAGACCGTTTTTCTCTTTTTTTGACCGGATCGGCGAAAATCTCGTTAATCGCCCCAACAATTTGATTCCGGGCCGCTCGGTATGTCGCCACTAGATCCACATCTGGGGCTGGGCGCCGCCATAACCTCAACTTCTTGACAGATATTCGATAGCAGACATTGTTATTGTATCTGTTGTTATTTTTTATTTTTCTTTTACCGAGATTTTGACGGGGTTCATCTGTTCATTCAGCCGCCTGTAATGTACCCTTTTCTCATGATTTCACCTCATTCTGAGGAAACTCATCTCTCAACTGTTAGAAGTATACTTTTTTCAGTGGCGGTCTTGTTGTTTATTGTCCAGAAGAGAAAGGGCCTCAATTACTCTAAATTATCTGTAAATTGTTATAAGCATTTGTGTGTTTGTTTGTCCTCATTTCTGGCCAAAGTATTTAATGACGTGCTTTATTTTCATCAAATCTGTCAACATTGCAACTTTTGTTTTTTATTTTGCGCAGATCGTAAACTGAATCAAAATGAAGAAGCCAAATCAGCAACCAGCTCTTCACAAAGTTATTATGGTGGGAAGTGGTGGTGTTGGAAAATCAGCACTCACTTTGCAGTTCATGTACGATGAGGTAACTTATCAGCATTTTGCCATCTTTATCATTTTCAATGCAATCGCTATCATACCCTTTATGGCTTCCTTCTCTTGTTTAATTTTTAGTTTGTGGAAGATTATGAACCCACCAAAGCTGACTCATATCGCAAGCGAGTTGTGTTAGATGGGGAAGAAGTACAAATTGATATTTTAGACACAGCCGGTCAGGAAGACTATGCAGCAATCAGGTAAGTCTACTTTATTTGCAACTATTATTTAACCTTTGAGGCCATGACCTTGCATATTATTTGTGGTCCTTTATTTCTAGGGATAACTATTTCCGAAGTGGAGAAGGTTTTCTATGTGTCTTTTCTATCACTGAAGATGATAGTTTTCAAGCAACTCAGGAGTTCCGGTATGTCATAGCATTCCATTCAATTGACCCGTGCCTCAATCCCCTGATGACTTCATTGAAATTAAACACACTTTTCATTCACAGGGAACAAATTTTGCGTGTCAAGAATGATGAAAACATTCCATTTCTACTAGTAGGCAACAAAAGCGACCTGGGAGAGAAACGCAAGGTTCCCCTTAGCGAAGCCACTGGACGTGCTACACAGTGGGGTGTTCCTTATGTTGAAACATCTGCCAAAACTCGAGCAAATGTTGACAAGGTAAAACGCGTCTCTTATAGAACATGTCTTAAATTTTAGCCTCTTTTTATCTGGTATTTTATTTTAGGTTTTCTATGACTTGATGCGTGAAATTCGTTCAAGAAAAATGGAAGACAATAAACCTGGCAACAGCCGTGGAAAAGACAAGAGCAAGCGTAAGAAGCTGAAATGTGTCATCCTTTAAATCTGAGACAAAAAGCGCATCCTTATCTTTTACAAGGTGGATTCTTATAGATGTTCTACAGTCGAAAGAACAAGTACTGATCAGGGCCTCAAATTCTGGCTGGTATATTCCAGAGAGACTACACCTATATTATTTGTGTTAGGTCACATTTTAATTACTTTTAAATGAAAGATCACGACTTTTATTATTCCCTGTGGTTTTGTCTCAATTATCAATGTATTACAAAGAAACATTCAATCGTATGGTATTTGTCAGTAATTGAGACATGAATTTGCGTAGACCCTTAATGATACAGGTTACATGGGGTTCAAGCTGTATGAAGTATTGATTGATAAAATTCAGTTTGTGGCATAAGCTTTCATGTGGTATTGTTTTTTTTGTCCACCTGAATGTTTCATGCTAAAGGTTTTTACAAAAATTCTGCTACTTAGATTGTTACCAAGCTTTTCATTTTTAGTTGTACTCTCTTGTTTATGGTAATCTAGCCTCTATAATATCTAAAAGGCTACTACTATTGCTGTAATTTAATTATATTTGTCTTAAATGTGATGGCTGGTACATAAATGTGTCCAGACTTCATGTTTGTTTTTATGTTTTTGTTTTCCACTTTATGTTATGTTTCATTCTGGATAGGAAAGACTGTGTGTGACATGTTTTATAGTTAACTGTTCTCTGTACTGAGAATGGTTATTGAGAACTGCTTTTGGATCTGCAGAAATTTGCATCACATTGATTTCTCCCTTGTGCTGGTGCTTTCTTGATAAGATTCTTCTTCACTGGTATACTTTTACTCATGAAATTGGTTTGTTCCTATTTTCATCTTATCCTGTGATTCAATAGAAACTTTTTCTGATGTGAAAAACCACCTGTTGGATATTAGATTAGCTGGATTTAGCTCACTCATTTTGATATTACACTCCTTTTGACTTGTTTGTTTCTTGTCAGAACTTTGTTTAAAGTCTTCGTATAAAGATGTGTGTGATGCTTTTAAATTGTGTTGGTTGTATTTGGAAATTGATATGATTCAGGGTATATAGAAGGGTTTGTTCAAGTGATATCACTTTTTCTCTTATCTTTATTATAATAGAGAATTGATGGACACAGTTTAGGTGTCAAACTATACTTTGTATCACATATGGAAAGATTTGAATTAATTGGAACAAATTAATTGTCTTATATCTGATCGATTCCTGTTTTAAACGTATGAATTTTCATTCATATTTTTAGTATTGGACAAAAGTGAAGTTCCCTGTAGAGGAAATTGTGCAGTTCGTTTCTCGTACTTATCAAAACTGTGTTCAGTTGTACTCAATTTGAATTCACTAAGAGATTCATGTATCAATTTGTACAATATTTATTTCATACTTTAAAGTTTCTTTTTGGTTGTTGATTGTCCTACTTTGGCCCTTTTGTGCCCTTTTCCTCCAATTTGTGTATATCTTGCTGTTTGTTCTGATGCCTAAAATTTCATAATTTTATTTGCTCAAAGGAAAGGCTTCATTATATTGTGTTTTTAACAGCTCAAGGTCCTTCAGCCCTGTCTTGGAACTTACATTTTATATGATTCAGTTGAGTTTATGAATTAGGATATTCAATATACATTGCCGAAAAAATCTGTTTTTTTTTTTTGGGAAGGGTGTATTCTTAACTTTCTTACTGAAGAAAAGTGGAGCATTGCAGTAAAGTTTTCAAAGTACATTTTTTTTCATGACTGAATAAATTGTACCCTTCTTACAATTATGTATAGATTTTGTTATTGGTGGACCACTTCCAAATGCTAGTTGAAAACACTACTGGATGATAGAAAAGAATCTTGAAGAAATGTAGTTTGCAGTTGGTTGTATTTTAATTAAAACATCGAACCATCCTTAGAAGTGATATTAGGTTGAAGCAGTTGGAGTTTCCATTAACCTGAGAAGATGTGTATGTCTAAATGTCCCAATTCCTTGAGTGGATTTTCGTCACTTATGAGTTAAGATGTGTTTTTTGGACACACAAGCGCTTGTATTCATACTGTATTTTATTTATAATTTGCACGCTAGAACTTGTTAGCACTTCATCTCTACCTCTTTCATTGGTTTACAGTGAAACTGCCAAATCATATGTGCTAAACAGTTTCCATGGTTACTTTCTTTTCATTTGTACGTATTTTATGAAGTCTTACAAGGAATGTCCTCTTTGCCTTGGAGGGACATACGCACAAATTAAATATCATGAAGACTGCAACTCTGTAGTCTGTTCCTATTATTGGTTTTGAGAATCTCATGTTGCACAACCCATTTCCATCTGTTAAAAATTCACCATTAGAAATTTGACTTTAAGAACCAAAGTATTTTTATGGGGTTCATACTGTACACCCATTGAGATAAAAAACCTATATTCAGCTAATTTTTCAAATATTTTCTTTGCTATCCAACATGCATTGCATGATTGCTTCTTGTATATAAATATTATGACTTTATTATGTCATGCTATACTGTTTATACAGATACTGTACATATTGTTCCTTTCCTTTTTTTAAGCTGAAAAAGTTTCAGGTGTTTAATGTCCATCTTTGCCTAGCCCATGCTCTGTATGTCCTGTACCTTCATATTGACAACAAAAAAATTATTAAATATTTTGGACATTTACATCAAGACAATTTTCCTGTCTTGTAATATATTCCAGTTCACAACAGTGTGTTTGTGTCCTTACATGAAATAAAAAATGTTTTCATATCTTTATTTGTTATAAAAAAAAACAAAAAAAAACAGAAACATAATGACTACTTGACAGCTGAGGTTGACTAGGAAACAATCTCCAGAATGGCTCTCTCTCACACATGGTAAGGGGAGAACGGTAGAAGATATCAGTAGCTTGACTTCTGAAATGTCAAATCCAGACACAAAGCCAAGACATAAAATATAGCTTTGGGGGAAAAAACATGAACCAGTAAGACATTTACCCTCAAAATAGAAATCACAACACTGCAATTCTTTCAATCACTTTTAATGTCATTTCTTAAAAATGTGAAAGACCTTACATGATATCACAGCCATTAAAATTCTGTTTGTCGAAACATTCAATAAAATTATTGATGAAGACTTTTCTTGACATTCTCTGTTTGGTCAAAGAGTTTCAATAGTGACACTTCAGAAGACAACAGAGATTCAGTTCATTTCTATAAAACTAATGGAAGCGTATTGATAGATATCACAGGACCAGGTTCAGTTTAAGACACAGTGATAGATAGTTTCCAATGTAAATAGTTAATTATATTCACATAGATGCCCACACCCTGATGGGCAATACTTATTTGTGCTAAGCCATTGTTGTATATGATGTATGTGCCCGCCATGTGCACAGCCTTGACACCAGGCATACAGTCCTTTTACAACTTGATGGCACACTGAGCACAATGAAGACTCTGAACTGTGACAACGGTCACACAACCAGCCTGTACGGTGAAGAGGTTTCTCACACTGTCCACAGCAGGTATAATACGTTGTTGATTGTTGACTCAACTGATTAACATTAGGCAGCCAAGAAAGTTTAATAACCTGAAAAATAAAGCACTCTAGATTACTTTTCTGGAAAAATGGTTTATGAAAAAAGCCTATTTCAATTCAAATACTCACTTGTGTTGCCACATTGTATAATTCATGGCGACCCAGAAAATCGATGTACCCCAGCATCCAATGTTCTTGAGTAGCTTCATCCACTCCAAGACCTCTTCGCTTATCACCAAGAACAAGCAGAGCTGATGCAGCCATTTGCACATCGCCCATTGAAGCATGGTGACGTAAAGCATCAGCTACTACATTGCCACAATCCCACATTAACGGTGCAGAAAGAGCAGACACATTGAGTAAGGGTGCAGGCTGCTCTTCCACAGCTACAGTCTGGGTCTCTGTCACATAAAAATAAAACAGGTTAAACAAGAGCAAGAGCATTTCCAAGAAGCATCAGAGGCTCTCATAAAAAGATTGCACGTTCTAAACCGTGAGGTTACCTTGTTCACTTGGTTCCAGATGATTTGGATAGGTTTCCGGGGGTGGGGAGCGGTCTAGAATCTCATGTCGAAGAGGAAAGGCTTCACTGGAAAGCATCCACTCATCGGCAGGGCCTCCTACAGTACCAATCTGACTGCCCCCGTTTCCCATACCCAGAGCAAGTGCAGCAAGGAGGCCTCCGCCCACCCCAACAGAAGCTCCCACTCCCATGCCGCTGTCCATGTCTAGTGGATCCATCTCACCGTCACCAAAGAAGAAGTCTCCTTGGGTCATAGGTGTTTCTGTTTCATTAACACAAGTAAGTGAATTGTCAGAGCGTTATTGTAGAATACTTATTAGGAGACACATAGAACATTTGAAACTCACTTGCAAAAGATGGTAAGCCAAGGTGTACCCCATTTAAAGATATTTCAGTGGTTTCATCAGTTTCCGTCTCCTCTTCCGTAGCTATTGCATCACCACCATCAACATTGCCACTGCCAGTCACTGCCACCTCTCCATTAGTGTTGTTGCTACTCCTAACAACCCTCTGCTCAGGTTCTCCTGCTGTTGTGTTGGTCCCAGTGGCAGCGGTCACTTCTCCAGACACTGAACTATCATCACGTCCAGTCACAGCAGAAGCTGATGGAGGATTTGGGTCACCCGGTCCACCACGAGAGCTCCAGTAAAGAGTCTTGATGATGCTCCACACAAGGCTCACCTTCAGCAAATTAAAAGATTGTTAGACTGTATTGCCAGTAATTGTTTTTACAGTTATTGAAGTAATTTTGAGATGGGTACCTGATGCCTTCCTAGTTCTCTGGCAACTGCTGCATTATGATCACACATTTCAGCTAGAGAGCGCCCATTTAAAATGTACCTACGAGCACTTTCCACCATCCAGCGATTTTCTCGAACAGCTTTCATAGAGTATAAGTGCATAGAGCTTGTAGCTTGGCAAAATTGTTCACTAGTTAAGTGAGATTTTCTAGAAGAATATTTGAAAGAAATTAGAAACGCTAAAATTGAGGAAGAAAAATTGTTGTAGCTTGACAGAGAAATTAGTAATATTTTACTCTTACCTCAGGTACCCTTGAATCTTGGAACTGAAAGGTACATTACTTGAGCTTATTCGGCAAGCAAATGCTACATCTCCAGATGAATTGATTGAAATACCCTGAGGGTTTGCCTGATCTGCTGGCCTGGTTGCATCTTTGAAAACATGATGTATTAAAGTGCAATCCTGGAATAGAAAAAATAAATTATTTCACTCATTATCATGCAGTTTTTAATTTCTCTATTATTTAGAATAATGTGCATATTTTACTTACTCGACTAACTGAAAGAAAAACTTGAGGATCTCCTCTCCATGCAAGTCCTGTGGCAACATCCTTGTGCTCTTGAAAGGAAGCGAAAGGAATGTACGGCCGCCGAATGTCCCATACATTAATGCTGCAGTCGACTACCAGGGCACAACTGGCAATGTGGTGCTTTCGTTGTGGACGCCATTTAATGCGACCAACAGATGCTATAGTGCTAATTGTATATTCTAATAGAGGCCTTCCAGTCGACAGTTCCCATACCTGTTAAATGATAAAAGATTATTTGTGGTTATTCCAAGATAATCATTTAAGTTGACATGTCCACTCAGTTTACCTTAATGGTTTTATCTCTGCTGGCTGTAGCCAACCAATTGCACTCAGGATGCCAGTCACATGCAAACACAGGACCAGAGTGTGCGGTGAATTGATGTGTGCACTTATCAGGACGCCGCACATCCCATAGCTGGACATTGCCGTTTTCAGAAACAGCAGCAAATGCATGCAGCAATTGAGGACTGAATTGTACATCCCGGATACTTTCTGTATTGCTGAAATCAAACAAGCATATTCATTGAAATATGAATCAAATTTTATTAAAATCAAGTGACAAGACTCTCCTAAACTCAGCCATGTTTTATTACCTCATAAATGTCTTGGTCGCATCTCTCATTCGAATGTCAAAGCATTTCATAGTGCCATCCTGCGAACCTGATATGAGCCAATGTGCTTCCGTTGGGTGGAAGCTGACTTTGTTGACAGTTCGCTTGTGGTCCAAGAAAACATGCTGCTGCTTCGAACGAGAGGGCTTGTCCAAATTCCACAACACAACAGCACCATTTGTTGCAGCCGTAGCCAGAGTCTGGTCTATAACAAGGAAAACGTAGAAACCAAATAATAATCAAGAGGACCATAGAAGGAAAAGGACATGTTGACATTCAAACCTACCCTCTAAGGTATTCCATGCCACATCATTACAGGAAAAATTTAAATTTTGGTTTTTTCCAACCCGCAAATTGTAGCTTTCTACAAACTCCTCTTCTTCAATTGTAAACACCTTAAACACTGCAAAATTAAATAAGATTATTACAAAACATGACAATTGGATTGATGCCCAACCAATATTTTGATGAAAATAGATTGCAATTCTCACCATTTCTGCCAGCTATGACAACTTGATTATTTTCCCTGTTCAGGGCAAGAGCATTGGCCGGCCCCTCTTGGGACACGGACATTGTTTTTTGAGACATCTTGTACGTTTTTTAAAATCCTTAGCGGAATTAAAAAGGCATATTATAAAGCATACATAATAGTAAACATTGGGTTTGAGTTAGGTGGACAAGAGTGACATAAGAATCTTGAAGGTGCACATAATGGAGGTGACACCATTTCACGAATTATTTTTTCGGTAAAATACAGCCAAGTCTTCAGAACATTCCAAAAACACAAGGCAAAAATTGCAAAAGTAAATGCGAAATCGCCAAAGGAAATTGGGACAGACGATTCGGCAGTGAAGGTTAGGTTAACGTATTCACTTCTTCAGCTGTTTCCTGTTTTCGGTCCACAGCGAGGACCCTTACTCGAGGCTAGCGGGTGTGGGGATATGAGAAATATTTAACAACGTTCTCGCGCTCACAGTTTGAACTTCCCCGTGAGAATTAGGCGATTTAGCCGTTAAAAGTGGCGGAGAATGCGGAATTAAAAATGGTGCCGGAAAGACTTTTTGTCCCGGGGCAGCCTTACAATCGCTTACAACGCAACTGCCCGACGCGGCGGGACGACCAATGGACTTCCCTGCCGTCCAGGAGGCCCTGCAGCCAGGAGCGCAGTTTGGGATGCATTTCTGAACGCTCTGAAGTCAGGCAGTAGGCTGATTCGGAACCTCACTTTAGCCGGTTGCTCTGTGACTGCGACAGAGACGGAGCTCCGAAAACGACTTTCGGAGTCAGTCTGCAGGTGCAGGTGGGCGACAAGGCAATTCAATGGGCGACGCGCCTCCTTGGTTCTCGCGGGGGCGGCGGGGGCGGCGGGGGCGGTGGGGGCGGCCGATTCTGAAGCGTGCCGTTCCGTCACTGTCTTTGTCGCATTCACAGGGCGTCCCGCGGGGGGCGAGAGGGAGGCAGACCGACGAAACGACTTTTCGGAATGAGTCTGCTGGACGCGCACCTATGCGCGGCGGGGCGCGGCGCGGCATGCAGGCTGTGGCGGTGGCGGCCGCGGTGCAGCGGGCGCCGCCGGGACGTGCAGCCGACGGCGTGCCTCTGCCTGCCTGGCTGGGGCAGGGCAAGCTGCGGCCGTGCTGCCTCGCGCGCCGCAGCACCGCCAGTCTACGCCAGTCCAGCCGCACCGGCCCGGTCTGCCCGGTCTGCCCGGTCCTTACAGCCGCGCCACGGCCGCCTGCTCCGCGCAGCCTCGTCGCGCAGCGTCGCGAGAGATACCGCGCGTCGTCGCCGTCGTCGCCAGCGATATGGGAGCGACCGGTGTCCGCGAGGGCCAGTGTTAGTGCGGCCGCAGTGCAGTCCGCGAGTGTGTCGGTGCGTGTGCGGGCATGTGCAGTGGGCGTGCAGCACGTCTAGTGAAGCCCCGCGTTTGGCATGACGGAGTTCGGTGAACGCGGCGAGTGAGAAAGGCAAAAGGGCCGAGCGCCGAGCGAGCGGTCGGAGTCTCGGAGTCTCGGAGTCGGTGACTTCTGCAACAAGTGTCCGCGCCGGGCTGCGCCGCTGCGCCCCTGCGCCGCCCGCGCCAGCAGCCCAGCTGAACCCTCCGCTAGCGGAGCTCCGCGGGGCGCGCCCTGCCCTCCGCCTGCCGCGCAACAAGTGCCTCACAGTGACACTCGCTTCCTCCCCGCGCCCCGCCCTAGAGGCCGTCCTGCAGGCCGTCTTGCAGGCCAGCGCCCTAGAGGCCGTGCCGCCCCGTCCAGTGCGCCCCGCGGCAACGCGTTGCCAGGGCCCAGCTCCCTGAGCCGCGGGACGGCGGTGACTGACACCTGGAGTACCTGAAGCGCCTGAAGCACCTGGACTACCTGTAGCGCCTCGACTACCTGAACCTGAAGCACCTGGACTACCTGGAGGACGCCGCACCAAACCAGCCATACAGGTAGGTGGGCGTGCTGGGCGTGCTCGGTGCAGCGGAGCGTGTCCCGCTCAGTGTGCGGTGCCATGGGTCCGTGGGCCTTGGGTCCATGGGGCCATGGGTCCACGGGTCCACGGGGCCATGCATGCCGTGTCATGACGTCCTTCTGACGGACGCTAATGGAGCGCTTCCACCCACACATGGTGGGGCCGCGGCCTAGAGGTTCTGTCTCTCTCGCACTCGACGGGACGCCCCGCCGCGCCCGCGAGGAGGAGAGAGACAGAGCGACGACATTGCTGTTCGGAAGCAGCATGGCCCTGTGACCTCCTGGCCCTGGCTCTGCGGGCCGCCGTCAAAAGAGACGAAAAGCCGGCACGGGGATTCGAACCCGGGCCTGGGCCTTCCCCGGGGCCGCTTGCCACACCGGAAGCGACACTTGGCGCGCAGAGCCAGGCAGAGCCAGGCAGGGCCCGCGCTAAACTCGCTAAGTGCCTTGAAGCCGTCTTGAATGGCGGCCATTTTTCCGTCTGGGAATAGCGACGGGCGACCCGGCCGAACTGGCCCTGGAACAAAGGGCGTCGGCCACGCCGAGGGCTTCGCGAAGGGCCGCGCCAAGGGCCACGCGGCCACGCCCCGCCCGCTTCATTTGCATATACGTCTGGCCGTAGCGTAGCGGTCCTTTGAATCGGACCCGTCGGCCTTCCCGCTGCAGGATCGGCCCGGTCTCGTTGTTGTTGTTTTTGTCTGTTGTTGATGTTGTTGTTGTTGCCTCGGGAACCGTTTAGGGCACGGCGGCCGATGCAGTGGACGGTGTATGAATGGAAGGGCCAGCTCGCCGGCACTCTGTAGTCCGATTCCGCTGCCCCTCGCTCCGTCTCTCTCGCACTCGGGAGTGTGCCGTAGGGGGGCGAGAGAGACAGTGCGACACTGGGCTGGCGCGGAGGGAATCGCGAACTCGCTGGTCAAGGGGCGGGACATCGAGACACGTCGAGGTTCGGGTTGTCGGACCTGGTTACGTCATTGCGTCATACGGAACCACACCAATTGAAATTGGAGCGGCCCGCCGAGAGGGCAATCATCAGTACGGGCCATCACGCATGCAGGCGCGCACCGAGCCGCCGACCCACCGACCCACCGCCGCCCGGCCCGAAAACAGGACCATCACGCTCTGGCGGGACAGCGCCCAGTCGGGCGAAGCAATAAAAACCCTTTTCAACGAATTATTTGAAAAACGGCCTTGGCCGATTCTTTGGCAGTGCACCTGCAATTGCTCGGCAGCGACGCACTGCTCCTTATGCGTGGATCACTCCGTCGCGTCGCGCACCGCGCCGAACCGAACCGCTATCGGAATGAGTGGCCGAGCTGATTCAGTCCGTTTATCTGGGTGCCGGCCGTCTCGCTCGCACCCCTCCGGCACGCCCCGCGAGTGCGAGAGAGACAGACACGACCTGGCGAGCGGCCGCCAGGATCTCGTCCAATAAAAGGGTCCGCTGTGTCCTGCATGGGACTCGCGCTGGGTCCCGGTTGGCCCGCTCCAGTGTGTTGGATGCAGGACCTAGCCTCCCTGCCTTTCGGAAACAATAAGGCCTGGAAGAAGGACCGCGACGCGAAGCTCCTTGCCCGCAGCACGGCCAGCACGTGCGCGGCCACCGGGCTGTTGCACCACTGATAGCGACAGGGCGACCCTGCAGACTCATTCCGAGGGTCGTTTTCGTCGCTCTGTCTCTCTCGCACTTGCACGGGACGCCCCATGAGTGCGAGAGAGACGGAGCGACGAAAACGACTCTCGGGATCAGTCAGCACTGCAGGGACGCCCACTCGAGGGGCTCCTCAAAGTCCCAGCCACTGTCAGTGCACTTGCAGTGTGCTGGCAATTAGCGCGTCTGTGGCCGACGACGAGCACGGCGAGCACGGCGAGCACGCGGAATAGGCCGTGCCGTCATCCTCCAGCAGACTGACTCCGCCTCAACCGCTCTGTCTCTCTCGCACTCACACGCCACGCCACTCAAGAGTGAGAGAGAAAGAGAGGGCGCTGTTCGCAGAGCGCCGCAGAACGGGTGCCATTGCCATTGATGCGGTGGGGCCCTGTCGGTCCCTGTCGGGCCGGCGAGGCGAGGCAAGGCGGTCCTCTGCAGATTCATTCCGAGGAGTGGCGGCGCCGCTCTGTCTCTGTCGCACTCATGGCGCGTCCCGCAGCGTGCGAGAGAGACGGAGCGACGAAACGCTGCTTCGGAATCGCCCGGCTGGCGGTGCGGCTCGCCAGACGCGGCTGACCACAGCACACAACATCACCGCAGGGCGAGGCGCTTGGCAGGGCCGGCAGGGCGCTGGCGCGTACCCACGGTGTACTTGGTGTTCTCCGCGTGCCTCCGTCCTCCGTACTTGGTGTACCTTTGGGCTGGCCGAGGCGATGGCGGTGCCCGCCGCGCTGCCGCTCGCCAGGCATTCCAGCGCCTCCAGCGCCACTCGCGTAAAGTAAAGATAATTAGCAACGCGGCGAGGAGCAGAGACGCGCGGCGCTCCTGATGGAACCATCTTAGGGCGATCGCGAGGACTGGCACGAACCTCCTCCGGCAGGCCCGAGGGGGACCCGAGCGCGGCCCGAGGGTCATCGGTGTTGAACCGGCGAGGAGACTTGAATGCGCGCCCCGGCGGCTGGAGCGCCTGCCAGCCGCCGGTAGGCAACCCGGCGCACTGTTGCGCTCGACGGGCCTGCCTACCCTGCCGGGCGCCTTGCAGAGCGCCTGCCTGCCGCCGGTAGGCAACCCGGTGCACTGTTGCGCTCGACGGGCCTGCCTACCCTGCCGGGCGCCTTGCAGAGCGCCTGCCTGCCGCCGGTAGGCAACCCGGTGCACTGTTGCGCTCGACGGGCCTGCCTTAGCCCTGCCGGGCGCCTTGCAGAGCGCCTGCCTGCCGCCGGTAGGCAACCCGGTGCACTCGCGCGCTCGACGGGCCTGCCGCGCCTCTATTACCATTACCATTACGGGCTAGTCCACGCTTCGCCTCGCTCCGCCTTGCCGTCATGTCATGTCATCTGGTGGACCGAACGGGACTTGTCTCGGAACGACGAGAGCGATGCTTTTTCTGCTGCCCGCGGTGGGACAGCGCGACACATCGGGGAGCTGCACTGCAGGCTGCAGAGCGATCGCGCGCGACTCTGCCTTCGTCGCTCTGTCTCTCTCCGTCGCGCCCCCGCCACGGGACGCCCCGCGAGTGCGAGGCGGACAGAGCGACGAAAGAAGCCCTGTTCGGAGTGAGCCTGCCGGCCAGTGGGCCGCGCACGGCACGCACGGCACGGCGCTGATGATGATTGTGACTCCGAGCACGTCTCCTGGTGGTTCTTGCTGCCCCCACTGCCCTGCAGACTGATTCCGAGAGTCGTTCTCGTCGCTCTGTCTCTCTCCCACTCACGGGGCGTTCTAATGGGTGCGAGAGAGACAGAGTGACGAAGACGACTCTCGGAATCAGTCCGCTGCCCGTCATTGGAGTAAAAGCGAGTGAGCCCCGCGTGGCTGTGGCACGGACGGCCGGGCCGCCTCGCTCGGAAGGACTCGCGAAGGACCGCCACGTCGCTCTGTCTCTGTCGCGCTCGTGGGGCCTCACGAAGGGGTGCGAGAGAGACAGAGCGACGAAACGAGCCTGCGGAATGAGTCTGCTGGGACTGGCTCGCTCCGGCCGCGCCCGTTCATGGGAAGGCATCAAGGGGAAAAAAGGCTAATGACTTATCAATTTCCCGCAGGCGACGCATTCGGCTTCTAATGAGTCACCTAGTGGGTCAGCAGGCACCCTCGTCGTTTTGTTTTAATAATTGACGCGTCGTCCGGGCCGTCTGCCTGTCCTGTCTGTCCGTCCGTCCGTCCGCCCGCCTGCCACTGGCCGCAATTGATTACCAGCAAAGAAGTGTTAACCCGCGACACTTACCCGGCGCTAGAGCCCGTCAAACGGCAGGCCAAACGGGCCAGACGGGAAAAATCTTATTTTAACGCGTGGCCCGACCGGCCTGACCAAGTATGAAAACGTGTGACCCACGCGACCTGTGCCCTTTTATCATGGGCCAGCTGGGCCAAATCTCCTTTAAGTCGGGTCGGCGCGGCCTGCCGCTAGACCTGCAGACCCGGCAGGCCCATTCTTTCATATTCTGGCCCGTACGGCCTGCGCTGTCAGAAGACGACCTGACCGACCAGCGACCTGGGCCAGCAGACCAGCTGCCGTCCCGTAGGTGTCGCAGCGCTGGCCGGCCGGGCGGAGGATCGATACCATCCAGAGGCAGGCCTTTTTATCGGCTTTCTGACTCTCCAAATTCTGGAAACGCGGAAGAAATGTCATTCTGAGACCACGATCCGTCTCTGCAGATATATATTTTCCGTTTTCGTGCCAAAAAAAATTTACCGCTGGCTGGTGTTGAACCTCTGTCACTTTCGACGCGTCAGCGGTACACCGGCGCAGCGTCGGCTGCGTATGAAACGTTTTCGCATGAGGAGACAGCCCGTGCTGGCGGCCCAGGTCGGGCAGGCCACAGCAAAATCACGCCGACCCAGGTGACCAGGAGATTAAAAAGATCGACCTTCGTGGCCAGAGCGGGCCGGCCACACCTGCAAAGTTCGTTTCTTGGGCCGAGATGGTCCGCTCTGGCCAGCCAGGTCGGCCTCTGCATCAGCTAGTTCCCAAAAGGGTTTTCCGCCCGTACTCTTGGTGGCCTGATGGTCTATTGACGCGCTCGTCCGGCGCGCCGCCCGTCCTCAGTCATCGTGCCAAGTCCGTTCTCCTGCCCAGCCGGTGCTCACGCTGCGCGACGCATGTCGCTTACCACGCACAGAGGCTGCCCGCGACACTCTACCCGGCGCGCCCGGCCCGGTCGGTCAGTGACACAGTCAGTGACTCTCCTTCCCAGCCGCGTGCTGCACGCTGCGCGACGCTGCGCCTTGCACGCCACCAGAGGCGCCACCCCGTCGTCCCGAGCTCGGGAGGGCACCAGTGGCCGACTCGCCCCCGCCGCTTACGGACCGCGAGCGACTCTAGCCGGT